TTCATTTTCCCCATAAGAAATCGGGAGATATGCTCTGATTTATTTTGGTTTACTATACAGTATTCCATTGTATATTCACACTGTATAATGTTGTGTAAATAAACCATAACTTATTTATCCATGTTACTGTTGCTTAGCATTTGGGTAGTGTTATGAACACATTTAAAAATAAAGTATTATATAGGTATTGATATGTACACAATTTATTGAAGCATGATATACATACAGAGAAGTGCACATATTATAATAATACAGCTTGCTGAATTTTCACAAACTGACCACACATGGGCAACCAGCACTAAACCCCAAGAAAAAGAACATGACCAACCTCCCAGAAGTGCTACTATGCCCACTCCCAGTCATTAGTTCCCATCAAGAGTGACCATTATTCTGATTTCCGACAGCATAAATTAGTTTTGCCTTTCACTTAGCATTATAGTAATGAGATTTATATATGTTACTGCATTTGGAAGCAGACTGTTCACTCTTAGTATTATGTAATGTTCTGTTATATGGACATATCACCAATTATTTATCCATTTTACTGTTAATGGACATTCAGGTTGTTTCCAGTTTGGGGTTATTATAAATAGTGTTCCTCTAAGCTGTTTAATAGATACCTTTGATATACATTTGACATTGATATATTCATAGAAAATGAATTGCTGGGCCATAGGGTTTTCATACGCTTAAATTTAGTAGATATTTCCAGTTTTTCAAAGTAGTTGGACTATATACATAGCATTTGATTTCTTGAGGAATCATTCTGAGTAGAGAATTTCAGTATAACCATTAAGAGAACAAGTTTTAGAGTCACTCAGACCAAATTCAGCTTGCCAATAAATACTGGTAGCTATACCACTTATGCACAACCCTCTCAAGCCTCAGTTTATTCCACCGTAAAATAGGTGTAAAATGAGATATTATTTTAACACAACATAGACAAATGCCTGGCACATAGTCAGTGCTGAGCTATGGTGGTTATTAATCATTAGCTCCTACAACTTAGACAATATGGAGAGCTGGAAACAAATATGGGCAATATAATCCACAAACAATTTTCATTCTCTGATGGAAGGAAATTGAAACTCTGACCCAAAAGGCATTACCAATTCTAGGACCATTACACTTAGATCCCCGAAAAAAAAAATACATTTAAACATGATCCCAAAATGCGTTTGCAAATTACTCTTGCCAGAGGCAGGGTTCTTGAATGCAGTGCATTATGATCCATTTTTTTTCTTCCTACTAGACATTACTCTTTAAAGACAAGACTGCCAAGGGCTACTCTGGAAAGTCACTAATATTATACTTTTTATTATATTTTCCAATTTCACACCTTCCTTAAACTAACCCACAAAGTTGTTGAGAAGTGACTGTAATTGCAAAATTAGTTACTAGTTTTCCTTGAAACTTACCAGTATCTACAGCATCTTCCACAATCCTAAAAACCCTAAAAATGGTCCCAGATCCTTGCTTTAAACTGCAAAGAATTTGCCATTTTTAGTAGGCAAGAACTTGATAACTTCAGCCTGGATTTCAGCAGCTGTTGGGGCAGCATCCTAGAAAGTAATACAGACATTACACTTAGTACAGAGGTACTGTTTTAGCTAGTTGCCGGGGAGCAGCAGACCCAGTTATCTTAGGCAGGTTATATTGGAAGGTGCACCCTGTTCCTAATAAATTGAATCAGATCCGATGTATCAGTCACTATTTCTCAAGAAATAAAGCACACAGTCTACTGGAAAAGATGCCATCTTTTGAGGCCAGTTGTAGACCTGAGAGGGAACTTTTTGAACATTTAATTGAAAATCTTTGATTTTACAGATGAGAAAACTAGTCATTTAAGAGTCTTGCCTAAGGTCAAATGATTTGTTCCCTGGACAGGCAGAAAGCTCAAGTCTTATTTACGTTTCAGTGGTTGCTCTTTGTTCTTGTGCCAGGGCCCCTCCCATTCTCCCATTCTGTCTCCTACCTCAATTTCATAAAGATCCAGACCTGGGATCCAGAAATGGGGACCCTGAAGAGTGTGACTTAAGGGGATGAACAACCATTATATTGTCATTAGGAAGGGCAAGATGAGTGAGGCTTGCCTGCTTCATAGAACACAGGATCCAAGAGGAAGGACCTTCTATGTTTTGTGGACCACTGCATTCTCAGTACCTAGAACTGTGCTTGGTACATAAAAGGCCCTATAATTGTTAAACGAATACATGAATAAATGAATGAATGAATAAATCTTGGTTATGTCAGGTTGTCATGTCCTTACTGTTTTATCTACCATCTCCTTCCAGTAATACAAAAATAAATAAATAAATGTGCACATTTAGATTCTAAAGAGATGTCATGTACAAGCGTCTGGTATGTGCTTGAACCATTGTGAGCAATTAACAAATGTCAGCTCATTTCCCTTTTCTTCCTCCCCCAAGTGTGGGTTACTGGGGTATGTATGGCGTGATGTGTCACGGTGTTTATGTGCCTGCACAGAAAGTGAAGCGGGTATCTAACTGGCTAGTGAGAAAGAGCTGTTGGCGTCTTTCTAAACTTAGTAAATAAATTACTGCCCGAAAAAACGCACAGCTATTTTATCCAGAAAGGCTAGTCGCTTTTGTTGTCAGATTCTCGGCTGCAGTAAGCTTTTTAGCACAACTTTTTGTAAGAGCTACATCGCGGCAACAGGAGAGGCAGTGATAGGAAAGTCCTGCAAGACCCTCTCCTTACCCAAATTAAAGGTAGCGCGCCCAGGCGGGGCCGGCCTTTAGCCAGTCTAAGGGTCCTGGTCCGGGCTGCGCCGCCCCTCCAGCCCCGCCCCCTCGCCCGCCGCGATTGCCCGAGTTCAAGTTCGGCCCCGGCCTCCAGCTGCTGCTCCGCAGCCGCCTGCGCGTCCCAAAAGCCAGGGTCTGAAGGCGGCGCGGAGCGTCCAGAGGTCATCATGCTGCGGGGTCACTCGGGCACGCGTGGTGCTACCACGTGGAAGAAAAGTTTCCAACTCTGCCCGTGGGGCCTCCCTGTACCCTCCAGTGGAGCCGAGGTGTGCGCTTTGGCACCCGCTCCCACGCCCGTCGCCTCCAGTCGCGACCCCTCCCAGGGAAGCCCCCTTGCGTCCCTTCTCTGAAATCCCTCCTTCGCTCACGGCGCAGGTCGCCCGGGGAGAATACTTGGGGGGCCTCCCGAGAAGGCGGCCCGGGAGCCTCCGGAGGGCCTGCGGTACGGGGTCTGGAGACAAGTGTTCCGAGGAGGGTGCGGGGGTGGAGGCGTGGAACGGGGCGCCCGAAGTGGACGAGGGAACAGTGGCCCACACGCATCCCCAGTGCGCCTGGCGGGACCATGTCACGGCTTCCACACCCTCGCGCGCTAACTTCGTGGGGCCACATCCGACCCCACGCAGGTGGCCCCCTCCAGAGCC